AGTCAATTGTAATAAATCATTGGTACAGTTTGTGTCGGAGTTGATTCCACCTCAGAAGCTACAATAATAATAATAGTCATTATTATTATTATTATAAACGTTTATAATGATGATAATATATGCATATTTATTTATTTATTTACTAATTAATAAATGTTAAAAATAAGAACAGTAATAATTGTAATATGTTTGCTTAGTAGAGTTATTTTATAAGTCTATTTCATTGTACTGTATGTTTACGTGTACACGTGAATCCATACTTATGCGTATATAATGTAATAATAATAATGCCACTGTACAAGGCATGATTGAAAACTGTAAGGCAGAGTGAATTATTTCACTCACTAACTCACCCTCTGTCTATCTATATTATTTACGATAAAACTAAAGTTTATAATTCATCAATATGAGCTACATTCTGTTAGTTTGTCATTGAGGTCATGTTATATATATATATATATATATATATATATATATATATATATATATATATATATATATATATATATATATATATATGAATCCATAGAACTTTAATACAGCTATTCAGCTATTAGATAAGATGATTTTCAAAATTAACAGTGAGAGCAATACACTCAATGATCAATATAACGTGGCTAATTGATTTTACTTATCAAGTTATCAACGTGAATAAACAAATTTTATAGACGAATCGATTTTGCAGTGTGATTATTATTATTAATAATTTATTAAACTGCAAATCACAATGGATTGAAATTAACCAAGATCACTTAACCTTAATAGTTGTCACACTCTACACAAATGATCAACTAGTATTAATGGAGTACTTAAAACTTGACAGCTATATTGATTGATTCAGTTTCGTTTACCCAATAATTGTATAGTTTTATTTAATCTTTGAAGAAGTGGAGGGAATCTATGGGGCACATTTAGTGCAGAGTTCGAGTTTCAGTGGTGGTGGTGTTAGGGGGAGGGAATACTATCCATCAGTTACTGTGACTCTACACCCACATCCAGATGTATAGTCTCAAATAGGACGAGTTGTCATCCGAAGTGGTGACGACTAGTGGTGTCCGTCAGGGATGCCCATTATCCCCATTTCTATTCAGTTTCATCATAGATGTACTAATGGAGTTAACCCTAACCCACCTCAGAGACTCAGGGATTGACTTGTTACCACCAGGGAATAGTTTCGTTGACTTAGAATATGCAGATGCTATAGTTCTCCCTCCTAGGTGAGGACGCTGACAAAATGAAGAGTCTTCTGAACACCATGAGCTGCAATCTACGAATGTTCGGCATACGATTCGCTCCTGCCAAATATAAGATGATGTTACAGGACTGGACTACACTGACTCCTAGTTTAGAAATATGGAGTTGTTAAGTGGTAGAGCACGTTGACCGCTTCACTTATTTGGGAAGCTGCATCAACCCCAACAGGTTGATCTCCGACGAAATCTCAGCACGGATACAGAGGGCTAGTTTCGCATACGTCAGTTTACGCCGTCTCTGGCGTAGGTGTGATATCCGGCTATCGACCAAAGGGTTAGTGTACTGCTCACGAGTCCCCTTTGTCCTCCTTTATGGCTATGAGACCTGACCATTGAGAGTGGAAAACATGAAAAGATTAGCTGTCTCCGATCATAGGTGCCTGCGTTATCTCCCGTGTAAAGTGGTATAATAAGGTGAGCAATATTGAGGTTAGGCATTGGTCGAGTGCTAGTTACGCAGGGAAAATCAATCGACGAGGCTGTGAAATTATATCGACTGAGATGGTTAGGACGTGTGTTAGACATGCTTAGCCATTAATCGCCTTCCTCGACAATGGGCAATGTTAGCTGACTGGCATAGGATGGATCAGGTTGGAAAAGAGTTAGCCAGTGGTGGTCAAACCAAAACGTGCCATCATCAGTCAATGAAATCCACAACAGTTAGTCTAAGCCACGTAGGATGGTGTAGACTTCCTGGTTGGGGTCCTCGGGATGGTAAAAACCGATGGCTGGAAACAATTGGTGAAGCTATATTGTTCTTCGTTATTATTATTCCTTTGTCTCACACCTCTGTTTACTGTGTCTACTATGCATTTCTTCTACTTTCTTCTCTTGCTTTGTGTGCTACATGGATGGAGTGTGGCGACTTGAACTGGTGCACATTTGTGCAAAGTTCTATGTCGAAAACAGACGGATAGACAACAATAGGATGAAATACGTATCTTAAATTCAACTGCTACAATCACCGTTAACCGAAATAAGATTATCAAGGCGTCTTTCGCTGAAGCCTGCATATCAACAGACACCGAACATTACGGCCCAATATAATCAGTCAGCAGGAAATGCAAATAAGGCTTAAGAACAAATATGGCCTAGACTGTTTGATGATAAAGTTTCTGGCTTTACCGATAAGTCTTTGAAGAAATATGGCTGATGTACCGACAGATACTGGTCAAGCGTAGGTCTACTTTAAGCCAAACCCTGTGGGAAGTTACAAGTTACAATAATTAGTGATCTAAGTAATCAACTAAATAACATTTCGGCATTTTATAACATCTGGTCTTAAGTTTGACTGTCACAAAGATACAGTTATGTCTTATTGTATCTCTACTGAAATGAAGCAAACATTGCTGTTTACCTTTTATGCCTATCAGGTAATAAATCACACTGAATAAATCATTGCCCTAAACAAATTTACTGGGCTGTTTTTTGTTCTTAAAAAAAAGAAGGCTATCACCACAGGGTTATGCGTAATCTGTAAATGTAGGTTTGTGCGTTACTGGAAAACACACTGAAGAAAAATCAATAATAAAGGTAGTATGAAAAGGTCACAGTGGTGAAAGATAGGTGTTTACCAAACACACTAGCCAATCAAATAAAAGTACAGTGACGCCAAAAGCACTGACAGCACACATATGATTCATCCCAAATAGTGTTTTGGTAAATACAACATCGATTGAAATTTACATTGGATGATGATGATGATAATGATGATGATAGGCTTACGATTCCAGTGATGCATTTTGACGAAAAAATTAAACAAAAACACTGATTTTGTTTTTATTCATTGTTATGTGATGAATATCAATTAATATTCTTGTTTGTTTGTTTGTTGGTTTTTGTTTAAAGGATGCATTCAAGGTGTCAAGGTATTTAGTTGAACTGATATTTGTGCTAATCAAAACACTCTGATAAGAAGAATAACCATTTTCATTGCATAGTTTATTTTTCTCAGACTTAAAACAGATTTAAACAGAAGTTAAACTTACTTTTGAACTAGGCATTATGTTATTATTACTATTATTCCCTTGGATTCCGAGTGGAACATACGGCTACAACAGCACATCTCCACTTTGACCTATCTGCTGCCATCCTGTTGAGCTGTATCCACGATTGCCTAAATTCTCTCATCTCTTCCTCACATGATCTCCTCCATGTCACTCTAGCACTGACGACCCACTCGTTGCTTCTCATTTGGATTCCACAGGAGCAGTGACCTGGCGCGCAGTGTCATTCGACAGCCTCCACAATATATGCTCGATCCATCCCCAATTTCTCCTACATATTTGTTGAGCTATCGGCTCTTAGTTGGTTTGTCCCTATAGTTTCTTGTTGCATAAATTCTTTCTGGAGCAAAGGCAGCTGTTGATGAAAGTCTGAAGTGATATTTTGGAAATTCGTTTTCGTGACGTGCACTGCAATTTCCTGACGCGTATAGAAGGACCGACTTGACATTTGTGTTGAGAATGCGAATCTTGTTCTTTGTGCTGGATGCAGAAGATTTGCAAACTGATCTCTCAGGCTAATGAAGGCATATCTTGCTTGCCTTTCTGATTCTGACTGACTGACTGGCTGGCTGGCTGGCTTTGACATCTTCATCCGTCCTGACTGCCTGTACTTGAAACGAGATGCTTCATAGAGATAATTGAAGGAGGTAAGCTCTGTTAAATCTCTTCCATTGATGGTGGTTGTTGCTTATTGTTGTTGCTGTTCATTGGTTGGTCATCTTTATCACCTCTGTCTTCTTGATGTCCACCTGCAGTCCTGTCTTCGCTTCCTTTTCAGCCAATTTGTTGGTTTTCACCTGCAATTCTTCGAGTTTGTGTGATATTAGACATATATCATCTGCGAAATCCATATCTTATGGAGTCTTCTTACCGGTGGTCCAGTGTATTCCTGTCTCCTCGCTAAGCATTTTGTGCGCGACTGTTAACTCGAGACATTATCAGTAGGTTTCCAGGGGATCAAGAGGATTTAAAACAAGACATTCTTTATTTCAGTGAACACAGCAAGCAGAGGACTACTAGAAACTAGTGAACGGTTGCTTCAGCTTATGTTTGGATCGTATAATGGCAGGAATCCACGACCTATATGAACTGAATCCTATAAGGCCGTGTAAAATCGTCCAACCATTCAGTTATTGTGCTAGAAGGCAGTAATCCCCGTTCCCCAACTTCTTTCCTCCATATGCGAATACTTCAGTAGAGTATCATCGGTCCTCACACTTGAGGTTTCAGTACATGGCGCTGTTGACTTCTCGCTAAAATGTCGTTCCTAATCCGTGTAGAAGCTACTCATTCATAAGCTAGAAACTTTTGTTCATTTAGCAGGGTCATTTAGTTCGAAACTCTGGTGAACAGCAATACGCGTAAGAATACAAGTGTATCTGGGTAAGGAGGTAGCCGAATCTTACATCCTGCATTTCACCTTTTCTTTTTCATTTCTGTACATTCCATGGTTTCATGTTTGAAGTTTCAATAGCAGTGGTGTTGCCGTTTCACAGTTTGCAATGCCTCACGCCTAACCTTCCCTTTTCTTAGTGCCTACTTATAGCTTAGTAAAGCTGGTGAGGTTTATCAGTGTATTGGTCGGGATTCGAAACCGGACCATGTGTGTATGTGGGTTGGCAAAAAATTCCACCGTAAAGCCACTGACACACTCCTTAGTTTCATAACAATCCAGTGATGACTGTCACTCAACAACTAATTACCCTCTGGTTGCTTTCTTGTCATTTCTTTTTCCACACAGGACGTTTGATTATGTTTGCCGAGAACTTGTTCAAATTCCTGCAAAACTACCCGTATTAATTATGTCCAATTTTTATGATATGCATGAAAATCGTAAAATCACCGAAGAACAAGTTCGTGTGTTTCTTGATACTGTAGAGGTGAATGGCAACTATTCAGTATCGATAAATGGCATTAAAAATTCTATAATTGAACCTGTTGTTGACACTGAGGGATACAGTGTGCAAAAGTAAGATTTTATATATGATGTTTTATGTGTGAAGTTATATGCTTTAGTTTTAAATAGTTTCATTTTGAAACTGTCCCTTCACACTGTACAAGTTGTATGTCGGACAGCTAGCACACAAGTGAATATGTCTCGTGATTCCATTGAATTTATGTCAGTACACAAATGATCTATAGAGAAATCGTACAATGTGCGATGTACCTATTCATCCAGGTGACTGTAGGTCATGGTACTTCGAGATCCATTGACATTTCTGACACTATTCTTTAAGCTACTCATAACTTCAACCATAATCGTAACTTCTGATCCTAGATTTAACCCTAAAACTTCATCTTAAAAGCTAAAACCCTACCTAACAGTATAGATTTGCGGAATAAAGTACCTTGTAAATAAGTAGAATACTGTATCTATCCTCTTCAAGTCCAAAATGGCAGGGATGACTTGATTTGGGATGCTATTTCGTAGCATTCCCTGTGTCTAATCGGTCCCTGAAGATCGATTTTTGAAGGACCTTCTTTCACAAAGAAGTAACAGCTTGAAGTTTTACGGTACAGTTTCAAGAGAAGAAAGGGTTGACAAGAAAGAATACTTAGAACAAAAGCCTTGAAGAGATTGTAGAGACGAAAATATTGACAAAGGACACAAAATCTTAAAGGTATAAGATAAGGTAAAGAAATGAAGACAATCTTTCAATAGGTTCTGTGTCTTTGAAAGTCTCCAGATGGTTGGCAACCTTTTTTTGACACTACCCCTCAACATTGAAAAGAAGTGTCTTGATTTTTTTCCTCTAAATGGATGAAGAGTCAAAGTATGCACATGCACACGCACATCTGTATGAAAATAGCTCTGTGTAAGTCATTTTGACAGTATTTATGTCTATTGTTTTGCATCGTTTTCTCCTAGAGATCTTTGTCATCAACTAAGGAAGATATTATGCGTCGGTGGTTCAGCGGTAAAATGATCGACTACCACTCATATTACCCGGAGTTTGAACCCCCTTCAGCAGACGAACCCTCAAACTTCCCTACGCTAACCAGTAGTAAGCCCGATAAGAAGGGAAGGCTGGGAGGGATGCTAGTAACTCTACCCCTTAAAAAAGAGTAATACCACTGCCTTCTAAATTCCAAAGCTGGAAACCTTTTGTTCCACTTGGAATGCTTAGGAAGAAATAGAACAAAATAGGATAGAGCAGATAATTAGTAACATCTGTGCGCTTACTTCCTCTTACCTTTCTCATGCACGGTTTATACATAGTGCAACTGAATTACATACTGGCTTTAGAGGAAGCAACAGACAATACTTGCCTTGTGTTCCTATCCAAATAACAGTTTCAATTAGCTGTCAAGTGCTTATCAGTGTGTAAGTCGATCTCACTGTGACATATAAGCCACTTTCTTCCTAGCCAAACTGCATTGGTAGGGTACTATTTGAATAGATGACCAACATTTACGTGTTCATTATAAAACCTTGAATAGTGGTAACTGAGCTCGACTCTGACATTAATGACGAATGGAAAACAGGCTTTCAAGTTTTGAAGTTTCATTAGCAGTGGTGCTGTTTTTTACAGCTAGTTTGGGGGGGGGGAGGTTGAGGTTGCTAGCCACACTCACGCCTAACCTCCCTCTCCCCCTGTCTTTACTAGTCTTTCTATCGGCTAGTAAACTGTAGGCGAGATGTAGGAGTTACAGGGTTTCATCATGAGCTGACATTGGTTAGAGAACCATTGGAGAACCTGGGAGTACTGGACAGCTGTTTCGTCCTAGTGCTTGGGACTCTTTAGCAGTACGCACCTACACTTCGGAGTTCGAACCCAGGACCTCCTGGTTACAAGGCGAGTGAGTTCGTGGATCATTAAGCCACTGGGACCCGATCCAATGGCTCATGAATTCTAATTTCTACCAATTCACGACATAGCGCTACCCCTAGCCAATGTCTTCGGTGAATATTTGTCTCACATCCGACCTACTGCACCCTACTTGTCACGACTTCTCACTAGAACCCCAGGTAACTATCTACCAGAATAAGGCAAGTCGCTAGGGAGCATCTCATCGATATTTAAGTAGGAATGCGTTGTCGGCCACTAATAATGTCACGTCGAGACAAAAATGTGATCCTCTTTGGATTTTAATGACTAACATTTTAAATGGATTAAGAGGTATCATTGGATAAGAAATTCCATTACACGGTTGCTAGTCACTGGGCAATGGTTACACCTGAAATGAAAATCTTGTTCACGTCAGGATTCGAACATGGGCAGTCCGCTTAACTACTAGTCCTATGTCAGGTGTATTAGTCATCGCTATGAGATGCATTTGTCAACAATCAGGTCATCGTTGTTTCACTACAATAATGATTAGTTTGCAACGAGGTCATCTATTAACATGTAGACTGGAATGATCAAATAGCAGTACCGAAAACGTTAGCCTTATCATACTGGAGAAATTCAAACTTATCTACCACTGTTGGATTGCACCACAAATACACATGAATCACAAAACATTAAAAAAAAACTACTGCACAAATGTTTCTTCATAGTTTTTCGGACTTTTCAGCATTACGGCGTCCTTGACCCCACCAAGAGATCGAACTTAACATCTGATTAAGTTAGGAAACGAGCACATCGCTATTCAACTGTTGGACTATTCAGATTGACGGTGTCCGTCATTAGTAAACCTGAGTGAAATTCACGACGATAAACTGACATCCTCACTTGTGAGAAACCATGATCCTCTATTGGATCATCGAGCCGTCTCTGGTGATATAACCATTGACGTACAGTGTTATCGATAGACAATCACTGTTGAAATCCTCAGACTGCATGTGTGTATCAGTGCTTATCCTCTTGAAGAACTTGTTTCTTTATCATCATGTACAGCTGATTATACACACACAGCAACACTCATAAATACAAACACACACACATGTACACATATGTCTACTGAATTGTTTATTTAACATTTACGAGCCTATATATAAAGTTAGGCATGTACACAAGGCACATGTATACTTAAACTAATTTTCTGTACACCTTGTTTGTTTATCTTCTCTTACCCATCACCAGCCGAACCCCACATTTCCCTCCCAATCACTCACATTGTGTCTTTATCTCTGTTGTTTTCAATCAATCAGTCAGTCAATCTTTTCTATGTACTCTTTGCCGTTCCTTTCTGTTCAATTCATAAGGGTACTTACTGGTCTTTGGAGAAAACGGCAAACAAAAGGGTGTTTGTATGTGTGTGTGTGTGTAAGAGAGAGATAGAAGAGAGAAAAATGAGAATCGATTTACCGTCAATGGGCTTTCTGTGTAGTACACATAAAATAGAATACATTAAAAACAACAGCAAATAATGCACTGTATTAATTAAGTAAAGAAAAAGGACAAATAATATTGATCCACTTCGTGCCACAGTGATTATTATTATTATTTGTCCTATCCACCACCCCCATTATTGACTTCTGTGCCTACTCAATTGTTTCTTGTTCACCCAACACCCCAACCGTAATTCTTAATTGTATTGTTCTTTCTTAAAAATGTGTGCATAGGTGCACGTGCTAGTAGTGTTTGTGTGTCATAGTGACGGAAGTGTGCTGTTCATTGACAAACTATCCAGAAAGGATTTCATATCCTCTTATACATTGATCACTGATCAATACATCGATCTGCTTTCTGTTTGTTCGCTTCTTGTTTTTTGTCATAATAATTATTTTTTTCGTTTTGCTTGTTCTGTTTTATCTTTGGTTAAAAGTAGTTCAGATGTTGAATATATACTTTTGTTTTCTAAAATTCACTTTTTAAATATTAGTTTCATTGTTTAAACAAAATCTTTAGGTATTTTTAATCAACATATAGACGAAATAAAAACACAAAATATGAAACAAGAAAGATAATTAAAGAAATTGTGTTGAAAAGAAGAAAAACAATCTGAGATGATATTCATTTACATGATTTATCAATTATAGTGAAAGTACAATCAATCAATCAATTAAAATCAATATTTATTTAAGGTTATTGGATAAATTCAGCTGAACTATAAACTAACACGTGAAAATTATTTTAACACTCACTAGTTTGAGTGACTATGGGTTGGAGTGAAAAAAGTCCGTAACCAGTGGAGAGAGTTCATCAAGTCTAGTGTTAGGAGGATGAATACTCGTGGATAGCACTGACTGACAGCAGCACTTTATATCGTTAATTTATGCAATTAAAATTCATTAGTCATTGGCTTCTATCCCAGGCCACCAGGCCACCGCCTAATCTGAATGAAGGTCGTGGGTTCTATTTGCATTAGGATCAGAAGGGTATGTACTTCTAAAGAGTGATTCATTGATTGGATTTGAATAAAAACTCTCGTTCGAGTCTTTTATTCTAAACGTGTACAGCCTTACACAAACTATGCTGATTCATCCTAGTTCAAGACTCTTCAGTAGTATGTGTCTGTGACCTCAAGAAACGCAATACCGTCAGATTAGGAGGTCAACCGACAGACTGTTCTCCCATTGAGACGACATTCAGTGACTCATCAACAGATTAATTTTTATAGGATTGGTTTGAGGGGATTCGATTAGTTCCATGTAGAGATCTTTGTCGTTATAAGAGAAGAAAAATCATTTTAATTACTGATGCACAAGAATTCTAAACTGATCAATGGGCATCTGTGGCACAGCGGTAGAATGCTCGCCAACCACGTAGGTGGTCCGGGGTTCGATACCCGGCTATAAAAGAGAATCATTTTCTTTCACAGAATTTCACTGGTGTTTCATTATATAGTTACTTTACATTTCAACGTGGTGTTTTTTTTGCACACCTTAATACACTGAAGTAAATCTACTTAGATGTTTTTAAGTAGTACAGTACGAATTGTTGAATTTTTCAACCAAGTTGTAAATCTCATCTTTTTAACACACTTCATTTCTGAATCTATTCATCTTGATGATGTTATGGTAGTAAATAATATTATCCTGTGAATTTGTGTAGCTTCAAGTAGCTCTGCTGATGCTGGTTT